CTTCTCTTTATGCCTTTGGCAAAGCACGGCTTGAGGATCTGACTGAGCCAGGAGTGCAGCCTTGCGCTGGAATGGGAGCAGCTCTGCAGAACAGCATCCGTCCGAGACTTGATCCTCACAAAGCTGATGTTTGCCTGACTTTGCAGTTATAAATAATCTCGAATGATTTGCAGAGACTGAAGTGATAAGAAAATTGGGAGTGAATAAGTAACTTAAGCAAAATCCATGAGAAAGGGAGGAGGGAGAATCCACATTTAATTCAATTAGGACTATTGTCCAATGCCATTAACTATGCCCAGGCGTCTGATGTGTTTTGCAGGAATTGATACACTTGAGCTTTGTCTGTGCTGGGGTTGTTTGGGGACAAGTGCATTCAGTGGCCTAGGCCAGTCTTTGTGCTTTGCAAAACCCTTCAAATCTGGTATCCAGCGGCAGCCCAGAGCGAGCAGCGACCTCGGCAGCCGGCGGAGCCGCGTGCTGAGCGCGGAGCCGCCGCGCGTCCTTGCAGCGGTCCCGAGGAGGGGGTGTTTTAGTGCAAGGAGTCATCTCCTGTAATTTTGTATTATTTGCAGGCAGTTTAAAATTGTTTCCTAGGCAAAGAATAAAGAACTTTGTTTACTGCTTGAGAGTAGGATGTCTGATCCTCCTGGGGGAGGTTACTGGTTTATTAAAAAAAGATACGAAATAGCTGTTTTGATGGAAATATAACTCTGGAAATTGAAATGCGGGTGATTATAGAAGCTGTAGTATTCTAATGTAAAATTAGCCCTGGGAGATATGTATCCTAAATGGTAAATCATTCTGTTTTTTAACAAAACAAAAATTACTATTATTTTATGGTTCTTGCTTATTTTACAAGGCCTTTAGCTGTTTCATCTGCACTTTTACAGGCTAGTGATAAATTGATTTTGTTGTTTTGCTTGTTAAATAGCATGTGTGGTTTTTTTAAACATGCTGGAAATTTAAGCATAGACAATCAGGGACAGAAATCGTTTAATACTAAGCAAACAAAGCAGGAGAAAAACCTCAGCTATTGATACCCCTTGCAATAATGACTTTGGAATCTTTCCTTACACCTTAGGTAGGATTGTGTTCCTAAAAGGAACCAAAGATGGTCTGTTTTGAAGAGGATCTTACGGGTAGGGCTCAGCCAGGCTTTTGTGGGGTGTCACCTTGCAAAGTGTTGACCTGCTGCAAGGTGGATCCTACCACCACTCTGCTGCTGTGGTGGTTGTGTCTGTCTGAAGAGGAGGGAGCACTTCTGCAGGATGAAGAAGCTGACGCAACCATCTGCTGCTGAGGACACCTGGAAAGGAGGACAACACTTGGACCTGGTCTTCCCAGGTGCTCAGCTGACACCCGTGATTGCCATGGAATGGCAGATCCCTCTTACGTTTGGGAGTCCTCTCCTGTCTCAGTCTGGCCACGGCCTCCTGGCTGTCATGGAAGGAAGGATGTATGGAGAATTTTGCCTTGTCCTAGACTGGAGCCCCCTCTTGTCCAGTGGGTAGGGAAATACCAGTAGGATTCCTCACTGAGGGAATAGTATTCCCACTCTTTCTGCTTGCTTGTGTTTTATTTTGAATAATTGGGCTTAACTGGTGAGTGTTCGGCACCTCTGAGATGTTATTTCGCCAAAAAAAAAAAAAGGTATCCTGAAGCATCCTAGATACTGCCTTAGAAGCTGAGTGCAGGGGAAAGTGGTTGAAAGGGATAACGTGTCCCAGTTTCTGCAATTTGTGATGATCTAAAATCTCTAATGATGGAAGCTAAAGCAAAACAGATAACAGTTTTTCCTTCTTTTCTGTATTATTGTGGACTTGTGAGAACTACAGGTGAGCGGTGTAGAGAAAGTACTGGCTTTGGAGATGAAACAACCACCTTAAGCCAGTGCAGTGAAGAGTAAGTTGAATGATATTCAGACCTCTCTGCCTGCTGTGTTCCCTCTAGTTTGCACACTGAGAAGGAAAATACATGAATATGTAGTCTGCTTAGTTGTGTCTGCATTGGAATATTTGCCTTCAGTTTGGCAAGCTTTTATGCTTTCTGATGCTCAGGATGGTCTCTTGCTACCACTAGTTTTCTCCTTCAGGAATGCAGATCTGCACCATATCTCCCCGAATCTTCATTTTTAGAAGCAGCCACAGGATAAAAACAAGCTCTGGTGCTCATTTAAAGTCAATATGCTCTGTTATTCAGTTTGCTTATATTCAAGTGCCAAGCTTTAAGATTTTGCTTTGCCTACAGGCAGCCTGAATACAAAGAGAGACTTTATTTTTTTATAAACTGAAAAAAATATTGCAAAAATGCAAAGAGTAGAATATCCCTTTCCACCTTCCACGTCCCCGGGTTTGTTATCACAAAGTGAGGCAGAGCTGGAAACTGCTCTAATCACCTCAGGGTGCAGCTAGTGGTGAACGTGATGTGGGGGTTGTGAGGAATAACAAAATCCCCCCGTGAGGCCCTTTTGGCTGTGGATGCCATGGCAATGACGAGAAGGATTACGGGGGTGAGGTGTAAGGGGAAAGTCTGTGCTCACATAACCCCCTTTGTGGCTGGTGAGACCTGGATTGCGGGAAGATAAAGGCAAATTCTGGATCTTTGCTGAACTGCGGTGTTACAAAAGTGTCATCCGCCTAAGGGGGAAGCTTTCCTGCGGGGTGAGGAAAAGGGAATTGCCATTGGAATATGGTCCCTTCAAGAAAAATGCGAAGAGATTCATGTATTTGTCACAGGAGCTTATTTTCCTCTTGAGGTTGTGGTCAGCAGATGCACTCTGACTTCTGAACCCTCTCACAGAGGATGTGTTGTGTGTCATAAGTTTTTGGCCGTAACGATTAAACGCTGCAGACTGAAAGGAGGGATTTTCTTTAGGATTCAAAAGCCTAATACTGGTTGGTTATTCCTGTAGCCTGAGTTACTGTGTGATTTCAATGGAAAGTGGAGCAGTGGCGGCTCAGAGCACCGCTGGCAGTGCGGGACGTGCCACCTTTGAAGGTTGCCCGTGTTGCCTTCTGACTGGGACGATTGCCTGAGGCTTATTGACATGGCCTTGGTTAGTATTAGCACTTGTGTGAGGATGAAAGTGGCTTCCCAGCTAAAGTCCAAATTCCAGAATGTCGGAATACAGCGGAAAGTAAAGGAATCTGAACAAGGGCATCTCGGCTTGCTTCAAAGTAAGTTACGGATCACAAAAGGATTAAATGAAATACATGTTTCTCTACAGAGACTAATGAGACCTCAATACCCTGCTCCTGCTCAGCAGCACAAAGTCATTTGGAAGAGCCCTGTCCTTCAGGGCTTGCAAAAGAGCTGTGCCAAGACTGCAATCCAGAATCCATTATCGAGATGAAACAGTTTTTCCAAACTAAGTGTTACAAAACAACATACAAAACTAAGTTAGTGGTGAGGATGCTCACAAATACAGGGTGTTTAGGCCTGGATATAATTAGATTTAAACCTGCATAGCAGCAGTTTTGTCTTTATCCTTTTTTTTTTCTCCTGTGAAATGAAATCATGTACTAAATTTGTCAACAGTTTTCTTCAGGAGAATTGTGTTAACTTTGCAGTTTAGGGCCCTTCTGTTTAATGAAAAATAAAAATAAAAGTGTGTGTGCGTGCTCCTTAATAAAGGATATTCTTTATGACTGTTTGACAAGACGTGCCAATAGAAGCCTTGCTTTGGCTTTGAGGTCTGTGTAGGTGGATGCTGTGCTTGCATGTAGCCCACAGCCTTCAAGGCGTATAATGAAATGAATAATCTGTCATTTCATTTTACATAGTTGAGGGCTTATAATGTTGGGAAAAGCCTTATTTCTCAGTATGCAAGTCAGTGCTTTATTGGGCACTTGCTGTGAAGCTTCTGAAACGCGTTGGTCGAGCGAAGGGGAACTTCCCGACTTCGGCGCCGAGACAGACAATTGCACGAAGGAAAGGAGGGTTCAGGCATTCATACATGCGAGAGGCAGAATGGTTCTTTTTGGGCAGTTTCCCTGCAAGAACCAGCCTTTGATCTAGTTTCATTCTGTTCAGCATTTCTTTGTTGTGCATCTGTGACAACTGTTGAATGGGCTTGTCACCAGGTAGATCTTAGACTTACTGAAGGGAGGATGTCAGGGTGGTGGCGTTCCTCATAATTCAGCTGTTCATCTCCGGCTATCCACACTCTCAAAATGATCATCGCTTTGGACAGCGGGAAACAGGTGCTGCTTTAACAGAAGGTCTTGATCCTTTACAGCCTTCTGTAGTCTGCAACTGAGCGTGTTTTATCAAATGGAATAAACTTTTAATGGTGTTTAACTGCTCCTGTTCACTGTGGAACCAAATGAATGTTTCTGTGAGCAGAAATTCCATTCCCCCTACCCTGGGCATTCAAGAGAAAATTTAAAGCAGGTTTAAAAATCAAGTAGCACCCTCTTGTAGGTTGCCTATAAATGCCAAGTCCTTCATAGCACCTTCACATGATTTCTAAGTCCAGTCAGAGCAGCATAACCTCAGCATGCTTTTTGGGGACAGTAAATTTGTCTTTTTCTGCTTATTTATTTAAAAGTTGTTGGGTAAAACATTATTTTTTAAAAGCTGAAATCAATAGAAGAGTTAAGCCATGGTGGTAGAAGTGATAGATACCTTTGTTTCTGCTCCTTTAGGAACAAAGCCCCAGCAACCAGACGTCGATAGCAATGATGCAAGAACCTCAAGAAATGGTGGAAGAGACGGTTACTGTGGAGGAAGACCCAGGCACTCCCACCTCCCACGTGTCCATTGTCACTTCTGAAGATGGAACCACAAGAAGAACTGAAACCAAGGTGAGAGGTGGTAGGATGAGAAATATAACCAGAAAGGGCAAAATATCAGCTAGCCACAGAATAGAGCAGGGAGTGCTACAGAGGAATGAACGTGATGCTGTTGAGCCTCTGGTTTTGTGCACATCCTCGTTGCCAGCAAAGCTGAGGTAAGGGCTTTTTGAGCTTTTGCTCTGTGCAGCTTGCTCCCTGTCAGCTGTGCTGATTCAGCTTCTATGGAGCAGTGCTGTGAACTGGACAGCAGAAATTATCCCGCTTTAAAGAAACAAAACCACTAAAATTCCTGCCTAGTCTGTTCCTTCCTCTAAGGCTCGCTCTGTTTTACTGACGCAGTTCTCGACGTTGCCTTGCGAGTGAGATACGGTGATAGGAGGATGAGATGAGGTGGTGGGCCCTGGAGTAAATGACTTGCAGCTAAGGGGAATGTGCCTGGAATGATACCTTCGAATTAGTTGTGATCATTAATAACAATATGGGATTATGCTCTTGTCATCTTGTCTTCAGAACATGAAATATCTTATTGAAATAACATAGCACTCTAAATTCTGCATCAGTCTTGTGAGTAGATTTTTCTCCCCCCAGACCTTGGGTAAGATGATTTTGCAGACTCTGCTGGGCAGGTGCTGTATGTTGGTAGCTGCCTAAGATGTTTTTGTCTACCATTAGAATAAAAATATGCCTTGATGCTTGGATCTCGGGAGTTGAGCAGACATTTTCATCAGGTGATGTGAAACATGAAGGGCGGTTCCATTTTTAAAAAACTTAACAGGAGTGATTGAAAAAGACTGTCCAGCTGCTTGCTTTATTAGGAAGGGTTGAGTAGAGGTCACTACATAAGCAAGCGTTTATTTTTACTGGTGTTTCAGAATTGCAGTTGTCTACGATACCGCTCAGGACAGCAAATCCTCAAGTTGGAGTCAGTGAGCATTGGCTTCCTGAGATCAATGGGCCTGCACAGATTGCCGTTAACTGAGTATATGGCTTAATGTTTGTCTGGTTTAGTTAAAAAGATAAATTTATCTGGCGTATTCTTTTTCCTTGTTGGAAGAAGATGTAAGTTTTAAAAACAAAACAAAAAGGAAAAAAAAATTAGCTTTTCAAATAAGTTACAGATGAAATAGGTTATTTGAAACAAATACTATTTTCTTTCAAGCAGCAGTAACAACTGTTGTTTACAGGAAGGAAGTGATAACATTACAGTGGTGATGGACACCTTTTTATATGTTCTAATAGCAGTACATAGTTTTAGGAGGCTGTAAGCACAGCTATGCAGGGCAATAAAATGATAACTATGACTGTAAAAATAGAGTAAAGGCCATGCTGTGGTCCCTAGATAATGGGGCAACATGGAATGAAAGATTTTGTCTGAAGTAGTTGTGCCACTGATAAGCTGCATGTTTGTCATAGCCTAAAAGGTGCAATTTTCTCCTATATGGTGTACCTGCTATTTTCCCATTTTCCTGCAGGAAAGAACAGTGGCAGCTCAAAAGCAAGCGTTGTACCTGCATTTAGGGGAAGAAAATTAGAAAACAGCATCTCTTAGAGCTAATGCTCCAAGCAGTACTTCACTGTGTTACATTAAGTTCATTTCGAGCACTAAAGTGTTTTAAGAATGGTACATAGTTGTCTTATTTGAAACAACATAAATCTAGAGTAACTGCACTGACTTCAGTTTATGTGCTATTTGGAGATGTTTCTTAACAGCTCATTGCCTAACAGACTAGCTCTTAAAAATATCCAGTTGTTACTGGAAAGTGATACTGATATGTCAAAACACAGATGGGACTTGCGTAGTCCCGACTCCCTCAGAAGAGCACTGTGACTGCAGGGAGGTTGCTGCTGCTGCTTGCATGGTTTTGTTTTCTCTTTTCCTTGCTGTGATAATATGGCATGGATTAACAGCTCATAAATATGAACCTGAGGTCAGGCTTTGTTTGGGGAGAGTTTCTTAAACACCTTGGTCTTTATCTTGTTTTGTTAGAAAGTGTGAAATTGAAAGCTGTTGCCACTTCAATTTCATAGCATTAATTGCAGTGTCCTGGAGTTCATTGGCATCACCTTGTCCTCACTTCCAAGGAGTAGCAACATGGTGTTTTTGTAAGTCATGCTGTTGTATGCAAGTAGCTCACAGATAAAAGTAAATTTGTTAGTACCTTTGTGAGGAGGCAAAGTTCTGTCTTTGCTGTTTGGTGAGGGCAGTGAAGCAGAGTTTCCCCAGGGTGCAAGATGCAAATCCATTCGCCCTGGATGTGCAGGGCTCTGAGTGCTCTCCTCCCTGCTGAGCTGGGGCTGTAGGAGGAGCTCCTGTTGAGGTGGGACATTTCACCAAATGGCCTTGGGATGGCCTAAATTTAATCTGTTCCTGGGTGATGCTCTCACCAGCAGGATCTCCCCGGAGTCCTGGAACTGCTCCTCTGCCTGTTCCCCCTTGGAAAAAGAACGTGGCTCTGGCCTTGCTTTTAGTATGAAAAAACTTGTGTCTGTGACCAGAGTTCTTGCATCTATTTTTGGATAGTATCTAATCTGTTACTTAATAAGGGTAATTAAAACTGAGGTAGAGACGCTGTATGTTTAAATATATGCATTATGTGTGTAGAAAGTCAGGTGTGTATTTAGGTGCACCTTCAGAGTTAGTGTGGTCTTTCCACCACCACAACCCTGTACAATTTAACCCTCCTGCCCTTCAAATTAAGGGTCACTTGACACTTGTTTTTACTCCTGCCCTTTTCTAGCTCTTAAACTCTCTCTCACGCTTAGCATCATATATTACTTTTCCTAAGCCAGTTACAAGCTTACAGCCTAGTTCTTGCTGTGTCCTGCTTTCTCTCCAACCCAGTTTTATTGTCTTCTCCGCAGCAAAACCACTGGGGCCAGATTTATTCTCTGAGCTTTCGAGGTTTTGAGCAGTCAGTTAGCTGAAGGTAGTTAGGATGACATACTGACAAAGGTTCTCATGCTGCAAGTTGCTGTGTTTTGGTCTTCAGTTCTTTGGGGAAATACTTAGCTACAGAGGGGGAAAAAGTATTCTAGGAAGCTCCTCTGGAGAGCAGTAGCCACCATCTCCAACCATGTGGTTTTTTTTACATGGGAAGTGGCAGCACAAGATGCTCCCTCTAACAAAGCAAATAACTCTGGTTGTGGTTCCTAAAGAACCACAGAAACCAAATGGGACTTCCAAAGGTTCCGTTTCTTTGCAGGGTGAACTGTGAGGCTGAGTCATCCCATTGCCATTTAGAATGCATTTTTAATTTCACAAAATCAACTTGTTTGTTACTTTTACTAAATTTTATGACCCTAGATTGCTGGAGGGTGATGCGTTTGAAATTCCTGCTCTGGAACCAAAGCACAGCAGAGGCCCTAAATGAGAGTGCTCCTGTATCATGCTGTTTCTTTCTTTTGTGTGCCCATTGTTTCAAGATGTGATATATAGAGGTCATTCCTTTCAGTAGTGAATTAAGTAAACAGCCTTAATCCAGAAGCATCAGCACCTCTGCTCTGCTTTCCTCCCCCTTCTTTGAGGATGCCCCTCGCAGTGAAGCAGGAGGGAGGTATAGTGAAATTTGACAAACTTTAAATGGCATAAACCTTTATTATCAAAATAGGATAGAATTGAGTAATTTTTCCCTGAACTGTTATTCATTTAGTACTATGCTGGCTAAATCCCCGTGTAAATTCACTGCACAGAAGACGTATCAGATCAAATACTTCATCTGAACTTTGCAGTCCCTCCAGAAGCCAAATATCTAGCATGCTAAAGCAGTCAAAGACGCCCTGGAGAGAAAACTACCACTTTAGTCTGAGGGCTGGAACCATTACAGTGGCTTAAAGGGATCCTGTTTTTAATGGTGGCTGAAGAGAAATCACTAAAATAAACTAGATGTGTGTGTTCCCTTTTTTCTTTCCTTGGGCACTTTTATATCATCTTTGAAATGTGAAATTTTTTCAGAGATTTGAATTGTGTTTGTTCTCAGGAGTGTTTTGTGATCAGAAGCTGTGAAACCTGCCTGCGTACCAGGCAGTTTAATGTCCAGTTTCCCCAGCTGCCCTGTGCTGCGACGCTCAGCAGTGGCGTCGACGCCGTTCCCTGGGGCAGCGGTGGGAAGGGGCCTGGGCCTCCCACCCTGCGCACGGAGGGGCTGCTGGCAGGAGCCTTGCAGAAGATTCCAGGGGAGTTGGGAAACAGGGCAGGAATGGGTTTCAGGTGAAGTCAGGAACCCTTTAAAAATGTGAAACGTGAGGCTTAAAATCAAAGAGGAGAAATCTGAGCTGTTGTTTTGAAAACCGATGGGGCGAGTTCTTACGCAGCATTTAATAGAAAGGTAATCGCTTCAGCCTGTTTGGGCTGATTAATTTTTACAGTCCATGGTTCAAAAATAAGCTCTCAAAAATGTCAAAATGCTTTTATCCTCACACGTTGCTTCTCATCTGTTTCTGGTTTATGACATGGTTTCGACAAAATTTCTAGCCCCGTCAGCTTCTATAAAGTGCTTAATCTATTTAGAGAAAGCAAAGCAAAACCAACCACACACAAACCCTCGATAACAACATGAGGAATTATGAGTAGTGGTTAAGATGACTTCATTTGACTACGACAGCCCACTTGAGCTGCAACCTCAGGACTGTCTTTCCTGCACTCGTGCGAGCGCTGCGCCCTTTGAGGGTTCCCATGCGCCCTCTGCACGGACGTGCAGCCAGCCTGGTCTTGGTCTTCGGATTTTTTCATCTTTTTCTTCTATCATTTGAAGGCAAATGAAAGGAGGAGATAGAAAAATACAGACCTGTTTGAAATGTGTGATGGTTTCCTTTGGGTTAGGTTAGTAAATCCATTTCCAGAGATGGAACGCATGAATACATTATCACAGGGGTTGTATAGGAGCTATTTAACAAGCAACATGATTACAACCATGGGCAAGGGAAACAGCAGTAAGGTCAGTAAGCATGAGCTGTAGCTGTATTCCTGGTTGAAAAAGAGGAAAAAGAAAAATTAAAAGTAGTTGACTTGGCATAGCTATTAGGAGCTTTTAACTTTGGAAAGCAGGTGCTTCTTGTGAGTTTTTGGCTCCAGAGAGTTTTAAAAAGTTGGTGTTATTGGAACTTTATTTACTGTGATTGAAACCAAAGTCTACTGATAAAGAATTGCAACTATGTTTCAGGAATAATCAGAGAGCCTCTTCATAGAGAAGTAATCTGAAACTTTTATGTGGTAAATGATGAGGTGATGGCATCAAAACAATTGAACTGTTTGATTTGTAATCAGCCTAAAAAACCTTCAGGTGGATTTTCTTTAGAGGTTAGATCAAGTCATGCTGTGCTTTCTCAGAATAACTTGTATTCTTAAATCGCTAAGCGTATTTGTAGGGTTCATGTGAGTGGATCTTTGTGGAGATGGGCGCGTGGGGAGGATGAAGCGTCTCCCGCTGCAGCTCCCGTCTGGGATGGCTTCCTTCTCTCTGGCTAATGCATTAGTGTTAAGGAAACCACAAAAATCTTAGAAGAGAAGATTACTGTGCTGTCAACTGCTCAAGGCTGCCCGAGTTCTCCTAAGAAATATAAATGAAACACTCCCTTGAGCGGACTTTCCTGAAATGAAGGGGTTTTTGTTTTCTTTCTTGGAAACGAAATAAATGGGCCTTTCTCTGTATGCTAGCTAATTGTTTCCAAAAAGCTGCCTTTTATTGTCCTGTAGTCAGCAAAGGCTATTTATCACAGAATGTATCTTCTACCTCAGTGCCCACCCGCCACAAATGAGGCATAGGTACAAATACTCCCTCAAGCTTAGCTTGGATAACACCTTTAACATTATTGAACTGCTTTGTGGTATGAGAAATATGTTCTTTAACACTTGAGTGAAATGTTTCCCTTAGGCCTTGGAAAAGAGATTTTTGATTGTCCTGATGCTTTCCATACACTAATGGCACAGCAAGCTGCAAAAGGTAACAGTAAGGCTGTGCCAACCTTGTAAAGCTTGGGCTGACCCTAAGCTGGGGGTACTTGTAGGGGGGGTGTGTGTGTGTGTTGTTTTTTTGTGTGTGTGTGGTTTTTTTCGTTTTTTTGTTTTTTTGTTTTTTCTTAAACCGACGGAGCCATTGAGAAGTTGTCCATGCAAGTCTTGAAAACAGGGAAATATGACTTATTGGGGGGGGAAAAAAATGCAAATTAGTGTCCTATATTCCATGTTGGTGGTAATCTCTCTGTAAATACTTTGGAGTACCAGAGCATGTTTGAAAAAAAAATCTCTTAAGTGCCATTAAATCCAACTGACAAGTAATAAATAACAAGTTGTCGAGAAACCGCCATTCTGCGTTGCCGCCTTGGCGCGTACGCGTGCGGTAGATCTGCAGACACTTGTCCCTGCTGTAGCATTGCTGCACTGTCCCTTACCCTGTCCTCCCTGGGGATAACGGCGACTCTCCGAACGAGCGAGGGAGCCCAAGCTGTTCCCAAGGGCCCCAGGAGGGTTGGTGGAGCCGCGCGGCGCGGCCGCCCTCCCTGCGGAGCCCCGTCCTCTTGCAGGGCGAAGCTTTTGCTGCTTTCGTGCTGGTGCTGCGGCCGTGCGTGGGGTATATTAGCTGTCGTGTCTGATCCAGACATGAATTCTATGAAAAATTAAACGTGGCGTATATATAATATATGCATGGCAGCATATGTCTTGAAAACGGAGACTTGGAGTTAGGTTTAAGATACTAATTTCTGTTGATTAATGCTGGCAAAAAAGGCTGTGTGAGGTTACATAAGCACTCTTCTTGGCATCCAAAAAGCTGCTTTTCTGTCCCTTACTGTGCAAAAGACTCAAATTCCGATTTGTCAAACTCTTGAAGCGCTGTATTTCCTGTTATTCCTGAGACTCGTTCCAAAACTCAAGAATGTGAAGACCAAGTGGTTTGTATTCAGTTTTGTCACTGCTTTGCAAAGTCCCTCACATAATTCTGAGAAACGTTACTTTTTCTGAAAAATGACTTTGAGGAGGCTTTGGTTTCATACTTCAGCTGGAGAGTATTTGAGCTGTTTAGCTCGTGTATGTCCCTATTATTAAGAGCTCCCCTAAGTTGTTTACAGTACTTTTTAAGCCTTCAATCTTTTCTGTCTCGGAATGCCCTCTGATTTCTATAAATGCTGTGGCAGCAGTCATGCTGGTGCATAAAGGAAAGCCAAAGTAGTGTGTGCAGGTAATAAACAAAATCCACTGTTGGGTTCTGTGTCCTGGAATAGATGTTTGCTTCTGGTTAGGGGTTCCTTGCTAAAAAATAAAAAGTTTGTAGGGATAGAAAGCTAGCATCTTCCCTAGGATTTAGTTGATAAAGGCAATCCCTACTGGAGTCCTGAGGCTAATTCTTTCAGCTCTGGCCCAAATTAGGTATGAAGGGCATGTTGCTACCTGGCTCTATTTTGTTCAGCGTTATGATGCTGCCTAATTACGCTGTTGGTGGAGAGCCATTTGTGCTGCTTTCAGTGTTACGGGATTTCATTACTTCATTAGGCTGAAGTACCATTTGCTCACAGATGTCTCTAGGAAAAGAAGTGTTGTTTGGGTGAAATTTTTCTATTTGTGGTTTCTATGTCAAAATGGCTGGAGGACGTGTCTGGAGCTGCCTCAAAAGATGTGCGCTATTTTGTTTTAGCAGCAGCTTGGCTAGTATAGTACCAATCTATATATTTAAATCGGAGGCTCCAGGTCAAAAGAGTCCCTAAGCATGCCAGGAATATATGCCACAGTTATCATTTCTCTTGATATGCATGTTGCAAATCAACATAGGCAACTTCTGCTACAGCAGACTTTATTCTTGAAAGCATTTTGGGGAAGTTTGAGCTGGTGCAATGACTTTGAACTGTTTCCAAACACATCATGCGGTTGCAGGGCTTTTGACTTGATAGTAAGCGCCCCCAAGTACCCATAACTCCTGTTAACTGAACCAATGACATGTCCTTTACACTCTCTAGAGAAATACTTTCCCAATATATGTGAGATCATAAGATGAGTAAATCAGTGCTTCTGTTCAACAGGCTTGTCACTGGAGCATGCTTTGTGGTGCCTTCTCCGCACTTTAGCATGATAGCTCCCCTTATCTATCATTATATCATGCAGCAAGTGAAAAATTAACATCCTTGTTTGGTACTCTGCCACAGGTTACCAAAATGGTCAAAACTGTCACCACTAGAACAGTGCGTCAGGTCCCGCTCGGGCCCGACGGCCTGCCCGCCATGGATGGCTCCTCTCCCATGGGCAGCTACACCGATTCCATAGACAGAAGGTTCATGAAGAATGGCGAGCGCTACATCACCCCCCAGGCATCATCCACGTTAACCAGGTCTTACAACAGCTACAACGACTCCTACCCCGACAGCCACGAAGGCCAGTATCGCCCGTACATCGGTCACGATGGTTATGGAGATCTCTCCGATAACTACGGCAGCTTGTCCCGCGGCGTCAACTACCGTCCTCGCTACGCCTACGTGCCAGGAAACAGCTACCGGCCGGGGGATGATAACCGCAGCCTTGGAGTAGATGATGAAGGATACGAACTAGATCCAGACTACTCCACGGTGAACCGGAGGACGTCTGCAGGAGTGCCCGAGAGAGGAAGACCGCACAAAGGAAGGTAAAGCACGTTTGTTTCTTGCTATGCTGTTTGCAGCTATGTTTTTTTAGTTGGCTACATAGTTTTGAACTTGCAATGGCCTGGTAAGTTCAGGAATTACTTGGCAGAAAAAAAACATAGCAGTGGTTGTGGTCAGCATAGTCTCTGTAAAGAGATAAACATATTGAAATCTCAAGAGCAGGAAAATAGAAGGGTGGAGGAGGAAAGGCCTTGCAAAAATGACAAAACAAGCAGTAAACTGGTTTGTGATTGCAATGCAGTTGTTATCTTGGCTAGAGGAATGATCAGTGTTTCTCAACATTGAAGAGGCAAAACCAAAATGTCCTAACACAGGAGCGCAAAATAAAGGTAGGCCTTCTTGAGGAAGAGTGTTTTTTCGGTAAGAGGGGAAATCATTTTGCTTACTATGAATAAGCTGGAGTTCATTGCTTTGTTAGTCAATAAATAGTTGTGGAGAGTGCCCTTGCAAAGTGTAGAAGTGTTATGTGTCTATGTAACTCTACTACTGTGTTTCTGGGTGGTATAGTGTCTTGGAAGACATGCAGTCCTATACAAAGGCTAGATTACATTTCTTGATAGAGAGAGGTGCAACTGCAATGTGTTCTCCTCAGTCCCATCCCGTGCTAGCAAGGTGAGGAAAGAGTTGTAGGTTGTGATCCTTCTGACAGGCCTGGTTATGGTGCATCTGCCAAACAAAGATTTGAACAGCCGATTTGAGCTGATGCTTGTAGCGGTGAGGGGATGCTTTATATAAAAAAGGCTGCACTGTGAGGTGCTTGACACTCAGCTTCTGGGCCTGTGCTCATTGCATGCCCTAAGCTGCGTGGCAGGGTTGCTGCAAACCTCACTGACGTGCTTGAGCATTTTGAAAGACTGGGTCATTATTTTGCCCTGTCAGTCTGTGTAAAGAGGAGATCAAGAGCATCTGAGTAGCACTTAACATAAGTAAAGAGGTCAGGCACAAATTACTTGAGCTTCACTCGTCTTCCCAAGAGATGTTCTGCTTTATGCCATATTTTCTGGCATTAGTGCAGCTATTGGCTCTTGCTTTGGGGGAAACAAAAGCAAGCCTGAGAGCAGTCTTATTACTCAGCTGAAAGTAATCTTCTGAGTACAAACCTGAAGAATTCATATACTTTAATTGTTGGCTGTACAGCCTGCTAACTTTTGGCATATACCTCCATGAAGTCATATCCTTGTGACTTATGTTTTGATATGGATTTAATTCCTATTATTTCACTTGTAGGTTAGAGTAGTTTCCAGAGCTATTGAGAGTGAATTTGCAAACCATTTGCCACTGGGTTTTTATGTAGTCTTTACCAGTACGGTGAAAAGACTTCTCATCAGTATTGGCTGTTGGTGGCCTTTGGGTGGCAAGGCCTTTCCCTTGCCTTTTCTTGGAGCTCAACCTCATGAAACTTCTGTCATTGTTCACACTTCTGGAAGTTCATTTTAAGTGGAGCCAAATGCCTGAAAACTGGCATGTGCATACATGACAAAGAAGACTTATCTACTGAGAGCCCCTTGAAGTTTATGGGGTTGAGAGTTGTAGGGAGTACAGGCAGCAAGTGGCTGCCGAAATAGGGATCAGTCAGCCAAATTTGAGCTGTTGCTCTAGTGCCTCTAAGCAGAGCTTACAACTCTGGCTAAGAACAGGCAATAATAATGTTTTTACTTTTTTAGTGTTTTAGTGTTTTTTTCAGACTGTATACATGATGAATATTTAATGGCCTGCTTAGAATCTGTCCATTTACATTTTTAAAGTGTTTTTTTTAAAACATCCCTTTGATTTATTGTTCTTTGCAGTTTGGATAGGGCCAATTTACAGTTTTTGTTTTACATTTCTTTTGTTGCATGTTTTCTTCCATATTTAATATGATCAAGAGGTTTTGACAAGTAATTAGCCTGACTGTGGCAACGAACTAGTTTGTGAAAACATAAGAAGACTGTATGAAGGCCTCTTCATAAATAGTTAGTTTTTGGCATTTCAGAGATGTATTTAAACACTTCAGTGAACCCGCATTTCAGATATGCTATTGATCTGGAAGAAACTAATGACAACAAATAGCTCTTTGTACTAGATGGAGAGTAATTACTACTTGATTATTTCTCTTCCCTTTTTTTTTAGGGAAGTCATTACTTGCAAAATGTAATAACTTGAAGGCACTTTGGCACTGTGTAGAGTAGTTATAATCACAGTGTTGTTAGAAGCTTTTTTCCACCACTGTATCCATATGCCTCAGAAGAGAGGTAATAGGTCCATAAAGACATAAAAGTCCTAAAGGCAAAAGGATCCTTCATTTTAGGAACCGTAATACGGAGAGTCACGAGAATGAGACCATATCTGCAGGGGACCTGTTGAGTGGATTGCAGCCACATGTACGTTTTCTTAGGGGAGGGCTTAAACCCACCTTTGTCCTTCCACTGACCAGAGAGGAAAATGTCTTTTGGGTTCTTGTTCTTCCGTCATCGCCAGTTTATTTTCAGCTAGTTATTTCATTATAAATTGTGGGGGGGAAAGCCACGTTTCCTCAGAAATGCTTTGTCAAATGCACAAGGCCAATAGTCCATCCGCAGGCTCTTGGGTGTGTGGCTGGGTTTGGCTGTTTTCCTTTTTTTTATACCTAGCCCCTGACATAAGATGAATTGTTTTCTGGAATAAAAAAAATAAAATAAAAAGCCACCCTTGCATCTAATGTTCTTTTCCTTGGGATGTGCTCTGACTTGAAACAAGTCAGCTGATACAACAGGGCAGGGTGAGAGAAAAGCATTTTTGTGTATAATATTGATCTTATACTACTCAAGTGTGCTTCTGCAGATATTTATAGATCTTTAGTTTTTTATGCACTTGTTGCTTCATTTGGTAATTTCTTTCTGTTAAATAATGGGGTTTTCTGCTTGTCTCCAGTGAATGTCTAGTTTTCAGTTTTGCTAGGAGTTTTGTGTATGGTCCTTCTTAAAGGAGAAGCAGGAACTACCTAATTTTTTTATTCATAAAACCTGTCCCCAGTGTTACTTGAATATAATTTGATCATTAAGTGGAAGTTAAAACAAATGAGGAAAAAAGGAAGTTTGTATTATTTATAGATGTAATATTTAAAATATATATGTGTGTGTTTTTAAAATTTTCTGTTCAGTCTCTTGCTGTTGTGATGATTTCTTTCTGCAGTGCCTCGTTACAGCTCACACTTGCACTAGGGTGCGTGGGACTTGTTTTTTCCTAAAAATTGTGGAGCAGCTATTGCCAGGGAGCATTCCAGACTAGACAGGATCTGAATTTTTAATGCTAATGGAGTCAACAACAACAACAAAACAGCTTTCTGCTGTTAATTTTTCTGTGGCAGAAGCCTGATTTAAGAGAATGAGACTACTTTGCTCTTCACTTTATGGTCAAAATTATTGTTCCCACTGCATGGGCAAGGTTTAGATTAATTACCTGTAATGTGTAGGGGGAGCAGTTGGAGTTTGGGGTTTTTTTTTTTTTTTTTTTTTTTGGTTCATCTTTTAGATGTAGAAAGAACAAAAAGCTGTTATCAAGTAAGTGTTGTTCACATTGTATTTCTGGTGTCTTTTTTAATCTAAAATAGGAAGGTGTGTATTTGTAGGGTATCTCTAAAGAACATTTCTAGCCCGAGTCAACCCCGCTCCAGTTCAGTGTCACACAGCGCCTGTGCCAGCCCCCTCGGTGCTGGGGACGTGTCTGTCACCATGGCTCGGCCTCCTTGCTTTAACAGCCAGCCCTGAGTGTTGTGCCGGGCTGTAGTTAGCATTGGGGCACTGGCCAGTCTAGGCAAAAATGCGTGAATACAAATACTGTCAGTTTGGAAAATACGATGTTTTTCTTAGAGGCCCAACCTCAGCATGGCCTGAACCTGTTGACCCAGGTGAAGGTACCTGAAGACGCATGTGGAGCTGAGGGTTAGGGGCAGGCTGCAACTTGCCTCAGCCGCTCCATTGGTGGCTTTTAGATGGGTCCAATCAAGATGACTTGAGTATTTTAACCACATACTTACTGCCTCAGCACAGGATTCGCTCCAGTTTGGGAATGCTCTTGCCCATCATGCCGTTGGGGCTGGCAACAGGAGGACTCTGCAAAGTCTTTAGGCTTCCTCTTCAATATTTGACACCAAGTTCCCTACCGAAATCCCAAGTCCTTCTGGTCTCTTTTCCAAAGCAGACACCAGCTGCAAGCTGTGATGAATGTAATGCTTGTATAAATTGTTGGGGGTTCTTCACCTGTTTTCCTAAACGTGCCCATGCTGAAGCTGCAAGGAAGATAAACCCACCCATCCTCTCCCAGATTTTATCTATGCTTGAATGTGTTTTGATCAATTCCCCGTGATGGGTGATTAGTGAGACCCGCCACGTCCTCCCGGCTTGGCTGCTTTGCCGCAAACAGATGGATGTGGAGATGCTCCCGGGCAGCATTCCCTGGCGTGCGACCAGCCCTCCTCATTGCCGAGAGCAGAGAGCCCTCGGCCTCCCGCGCGCAGACGGCCCTCGCTGCCGAAGCGCACAGTAGGCCTCCTCGTGCTAACTAGCTCACCTTCCCAGCACAGCTGCTCCACCGAAATGAAAGTAATAAATAAATTAATAAATATCGCATTTAGCCCTTGCCAGTCTGACTTGGAAAGAAAGACTTCACCTGGGCTGCGTGATCCTTGCCAGCACCAAGAGAGGGGATCACTTTCTGCCAGGCCCTCAAAGGCTTCCTGGTTGTTCTGTGTTACTTTAGCTAATGAGATACTTTGCTCCTTCACAGATGGCAAATGATCTATTTTGGTAAACTGCTTCCCCCAAAGCTATTAAGCAGTGGCAGATTGACATTGAGTTTTCTTTGTAAAATCTTTAAGGATTTTTGCTTTAATTTCAATATGTTTTTTTCCCTTCTCCTAACCTGATTGCTGCATTTAATAATGCGAATCAGAATTGGTGAGATACCTTCATTAAGCTTTCTTGTACAGCTGTTAAGTTCATGCTGGGACATCTAGAAACAAAGTTCCTAGATATTTATGAAGGTTTTTGAAGGGTCGAATACCCAGCTGCTCTCTTTGCTGCCCAGGTAAACCAGTTGATTCTGTTACCATTTCTTTAACCAGTGGCTGGCTGACTCTTGACCCTGTTTCAGCCTATAGAGGTGTGCTGGACCCACTACACAGGTGTATCTCAACAGTGGTGGCTTGCATGTTTATCCCTTCTCTGCAAATGCTCGGGAGATGCTCTTTATGTGGTCTGAAGGCAGCTGTCTGCCCTGCAGTGTGATCACAGCAGCCTGTAATCCTGCTCTGCACAGAAGAGATCGTCCTGCAGAATTAGGCTGAGGTTGGAATGGGGAGCATCTGAAAGGACCTGTACAGGGATGCAAATCCTGATGGTCACTTGCCAGTATCTTTTATGGGTCAGGATCTGCTTCCTTGGTGCTTCTGCTCGAGGCTGGGACCATCAGTTCATGCTCTTGTCACTGCCCGGCTCAGGAGCCGCCGCGGGTGGGTTCGGAGCAGCAGTGCCCTCCGCGCGGCCAGCGTGTTCCATCTTGCACCATCTGCACTTTGTGTCCCAGACCCTTAGCGACACAGCCTTTGAACATGAAATGCTCAGTGTCTTCCTGTATTGCCTTCTAGCTCTGTGTCTTTGGGATTTCATCACAGAGGGATCATCAAAGTTAAAGATCATCAAAGCCCCTTGGCTGTCTTGGTACTTCAGTAACTTTGTACTGAAATAGTGAAAGTGCCGTTTGAATGGCAACAGTCCCCTAACTTTATTTCAGTAAGTAGCAAATGCAGGTGTGGTCCTCTTTTTAGAATCATTGATGCGTAATTTAAGAAATTTCATCTTCATATTTAATAAGCAGTGGTTCATAATGTAAATAAAGGTTGTTATTGTTGGTATAAGACTTATATGGTGCTCTTTCTTGTCTTGACTGCATTGCAATCTGGAGTTTAAATTCTGAAGCTTTATTTAGGGCTTGATGAGCTTTTACTTGAGCTTTGATGGTATCAAAGGGCTTTGTTTGGCACCAGTGAGAAGATGCACCGTGAGGGAGCTGGGAGCATCTGTGTGGCTCTTCTTGGAAGGCTTCACAGAAATAATGCAAACAAGCCCCATCCCAAGATGGTAATTATCCTCATGTATTTGCATGGATGAGAAGAAGAAAGAAACTGAATTGTGCAGGTGTAGCTGAGGTTGTGTGCAGTTATCCTGTAGGCAGCTAGGCCCAAGACTTGCTGAATTACAAGCTACTGAGTCAAACAAGCAACAGCTGTGCAGAGGGCTATTACTAAAATCCATCTACTTTGTGCGCCAGCTAATTTGCCGTGAGAGTGACTCTGAGAAGTGAGTTTGCTTTTGTTGTCATTTTAATGCTGGTTGTGTCAGATTTGTGTGCGTAAAGACAAAAATCTGTTTGAGTAACAGTTTAGGGTGTTTGTTACTTCTGCCTTCTGTGTTCACACGGGAGTAAATCCGTTTGGTGCTGGGACTTTCTTGCTGGAGTGGGGGAAACAGCTTTTTTCTCTAACAGAAAATACAACAGCTGTCCAGACACTGTAAATTACTGGGTAGAGCCAGCACTGAATTATACATGCACAAATAACTCTGCATCCATAAATGATTTCTTCAGCTTCATTCTGAGTTTTGGACACCAGCCCGTTTTTATCCTTTCATTCAGTTTATGATTTAGATCAGCCATTTGAGTCAGTGGAGGTGCTTTTACCATTAAAAGCATTAATTGTAAAAGACTCAGTTGAGACTCCACCTCCGGTTGCTGCTCTCCCCAGAGTCTAGTTTAATTAGCAGCCCCTTCAGGAAAATTCCCAGCTCCATTTTCTTCCCAAGTTTTAATGGTCTATATATCCTTGTGTGTGACATCAGAAATTTTTCAGTAACATCAGTTGGTGCCCGAAGAGAAAGTTTTTAAGAATCATTTTGTAGCAATTAAAACTTCTTGCTTGACTGAAATAACTACAGTGCCACAGCAGTAGCTAATCTGCCCAGGAAGAAACAGCAGGGCAAAAAGCTTTGCTGTTTAAAAGCAGATAGGCTATGTACTTGCAGATGTACATGTGCTGCAGCTTTCCTTTTAATAATCATGCTGGAAAGGCTGCAATGCCTTGAATTCTGTAGGGCTTTTCTAAATAGTAACCTTAATTTTTATGGTATTCATCCTGTCTGTCAGCTTTATGGAGCAGCAGCAGAAGACATAATGCTTAGCATGTAAGTTAGTTTATGTTAACATGCATTAAAGGTAGCTTAGTTGGAAGTGAGAATGAAAAAGAAAAATCTTCTATGCTTCAGGTTTAAAACCATTGGATGATCTGAAATTTTGGTTCAGTCGGTCACCTCCGCTCTTTATTCTTCTCAGAGCAGTCGCTCGCTCGGATGAGCCTTCGCGACCCAGCCCTGGAGAGGAGCAGTTCCAAAGCGGAACGTGGTAACTGGAGGTCCCAGCTGCTAGGTGTGAGCTGCCTGACTGTCCTGTGCCTTATTCACGTGCCAAATTTAAGAAAGAGCAAAATCTTGACAAGATCAGTGGTCGCTGTATGCGTGCTTCAGGCTTCCTTCTGTGCTTCGTGCACCTTGCGTGCGTTGAAGCTCCCCTGCACTAACAGCGTGTTCATGAGGGCTTGGTGCACCTTGCGTGCATTGAAGCTCCCCTGCACTAACAGCGTGTGTTCTGGAGGATGTAAGGTGTCACTTTAAATAAAACATAAACTAAATCAGTGGGTCTCAAAAAAACAATTCTGTTTCTCCTTATAAAGGTGTTGCTGAAATCCTCTCTTAACAGACAGTTGTCAGAAGTGATACATATGATTTTTTTTTCTGAAGGTTTATTGATGTAGTGGTTGATAGAGGAAAAAAGTATTATTTGGCAGAGTGACCTTTCTGTGTATTTATTTTAAGAATATGGGAATTTCTCTTGCGTGAGAACACGCAACATGTGTTGGCTGGTCGTGATTGACCTTGCTTCAGTCATACACAGTGAATTATGGCAGGAAAGGTGGATGCACATCATACTATTGCTGTAAGAGCCCGTAATAGTTTTGCAGTCTGGCTAGATGCTGATTCTGGGGTAGGACAAAATCAGGTAGTACTAAATTCCCTTTGGATGACAGCTGTTGTGTTAACAGCCGGATCCAGATCTCTTGACTATCAGTTTCTTTTATAAAAGAATTTTGCTACATGCTTGGATTCAGGACTTAAATTTTCCATTTTCTTTGGCAAACTGTTAAGCTGTGTTGATGAATTTGGAGTACTTGTGAGAGCACCAGCTCCTGTATGGAAATGTAGCACATCTTCTCAGATTTGTTGAAAAGTCTGTGGTCCCTTTGTGCGCAGGCTGTGAATGCCTTTAATTAGAGTTCTAGTTTGTTTCAGAAATAGTGTCGTTAATGAAGCTCAGTATTTCCTACTAAATGTAATCCAGTTCTGTCATAATTGCTTTGCTAAGTGATCTAAATGAAAGCAATATTCTTGATGACTTGCAGTTCCTGTCATTATTTTGCTCCTAACCAAACAAATATTGTCCTACAGTCACATCACTGCTGAGTATTCAGCTATGCTCAATTTTCACGTTACTACAAATACGTATTTGAAAGTGCAAATAAGTTGCCCCTAATGATGGTTGTGGTATTAAATGGTTTGATCATGGCTGAAATCTCCATGTTGGCTCAGAGGCACAGAATGTTTAAGTGTGCTTTTTCTTGACTTTTGGAACTGTTGTTCCTTACAGGGGCTACGATGACCCCATCGAGACGGAGATGGTTGAGGAGAGGATCCCTTACCTTCACGGTGGCTACGCAGCCCCGCTGGCACAGCCCGAGAGGGGCAGCATGGCCAGCATCGACCGCCTGGGGAAGCGCTCCCCCTCCATCGACAGCATTCGGAAGGACCCTCGGTGGAGGGACCCCGACCTCCCTGAAGTAATCGCCATGCTCAGCCACCCCATTGACCCGGTCAAGTCCAACGCCGCAGCCTATCTGCAGCACTTGTGCTACGAGAATGATAAAATCAAAAAGGACGTGAGGCACCTTAAAGGGATCCCTATCTTGGTGGGCCTACTAGATCATCCAAAACCAGAGGTCCACCGCAAAGCCTGTGGGGCGCTCAGAAACATCTCGTATGGGAAGGATAATGAAAACAAAGTGGCTATAAAGAACTGCGATGGCATCCCAGCTTTGATCAGACTGTTGCGGAAAACAAATGACATGGAAGTCAGAGAGCTAATTACAGGTTAGTGTCTGTATTTTCTTTATTAAGTTCTTGTTTAGAGGAGTCTTCTCAGTTTTGGATGAAGCATTCCTAAAGGTTAGAAGACAGAAAGAGAGCTTGGATCGCTGGCTGCTGTTTCTCAAGCTGCACTGTGTTCTTGGGGTGGCAAAGTCTGAAGTGATTTGAGTTTGTGTCCTTCAAGAGGAAATCATCTGTGTGTGCAGCACACCCACCTTTCCCCAAGTGCTGAAATGCAGGGGATTCTTCTTGGACTTAGTGTGCGACTGGATGTGGTCAAGTTACTGAAGTTTAAATGAGTTAGGGCAATTCATTGACAAGTAATTTGTAGTGTATTTGCCCTCAGTGTGTTGTAATCATGAGGCAAGAGATGCTAATCAGAAACTTTCCTTGTTGAACTCCTTGTTGAACTGTTGGCTTGTCCCAAGTGCTTCATGTTGATAGTACAGCCCATCTCCTCTGCAGCGCTTCCCGTCCTCGCTGCTGGGGAGCCTGCCAGACTGTTTGACTTGCAGCATTTCAGTAGCTGAGGATTGGGAAACATTCAGAGTTCAAGCAATCTGCTGTTGAGATGCTGTGGACACGGGAAGTGCAATAGTAATTGGGAAAGAGAGAAATGCATTTTAAAGATACTCCATTCCTGTACGCTTTGCAGGGATTTTTCAAATGCTTACAACTCCATTATTCAACCTATTTCTGTTTGACCTTAGTCTTGGATATTATCCAAAAGGAATAATAAAGTATATGCCAAGTTTCAAAGTTCAGTTATTAAGTTGAGAAGGGTGGAAAAGTATGCGAGCTCTTAAACTGAAGAAAAATGTGTTGTACTCTCCCATAACTCACAAGAAGTGAAATGGCTTTTCCTTCTCCCAGAGGCAGCAGGGGACACTCGGATGGAGACCGGGCTGTGGCACCGGCAGTGACTTTCAGTGCCAAAATAGACATTTCTGGGAAGTTCTGGGCATATGAAAATGGGTCCAGCACTGGAATGGCTTAGCTACCTTATCCGTGCTGGTTTCTCCAAGCAGACTATCACAATACGGATTAAGCCTTTTGAAGCAAACATCGTAATTCTGTAATTGCCTCAGAAAACACGATGGCAGTGCTCCAGGCTGGTGCTGCTCAGCAGTGGCACTGGGTGTTCCCCAGCCATTACGGGATATTAAGCAAACTCTCTCTTAATGCACACTGTAGAAGCTGGCAGGGCCTTTTATTCTTTTTCAACCCTTTTTCAGGATGCCAGTGAAGGAGAGCTGTCTGTTTTATCAGAAATCCCTCTAATTGGTACATGGTAGGTTTGCTTTGGTGGTTGTGTGTGCTTCATCTCTTGGCGTAGGAGCTCTTCAGGCAATATTTGCACTCTCTTAGTTTGATGGCCAACTTTTTTTTTTTTTTTTTTTCTTTTTCCCTCAAATAATGTTTGTTTAGCTGCTGTTTTAGCTTACTCAAAACTCATTTCTGGGGTGCTGAGAAGGAATAAATTTATTTCATGTTCACGAAAGGAAAAGTCAGTCTGTAATTTACTCTGAAGGAATATCATTATAATGCTAAGTGCTAATCAGTCACTTCTGAGATGGCAAGAGCAAACTGGAGGTTTTTCCCTTTTATCTCTGAATGGCGATTGCTTTGATTTCCAGTTGATAATTAATTTTACAGTTTAAATACATTCTGTTTGACACTACCTCCTGCTAATTAAGTATTGCATTTCTGTTCCACTTCTCTTCTTGCTATTTAAAGCTCTTTATTTCCCTTTACTGAGAAACATTAGGAATTCTGAGACTGCTACCCTACACAGATGTCTAGCAACAGCTGATGCGCCTTTAACCTCCACCTAACCAGGAATGATTTCATTCCACTTCTGAAATGATTCCGTGAGATCTGGTGTGAAATGTTCCAGCTTCAGCCGGAGCTGCTCTGCTTGCACCTTGTGTTGGTAGCTCCGACTGGTAACGTGGAGCGAGCTCCGAAGGGCAGCAGGGAGGAACAGGAGCAACCCGAGGTGTGAAGGGACCGTTCAGCCCGGGCAGCTGCAAGGGGCCTGTGCTCTGTGGCACTGAAAACTCAGATCCTGCTCCTTATGGCCTCGTCGTAGAAGTCCCAACTTCCTATCAAGTTACCTTTTCCTAATGATAAGTGAAAGTGCACCTTTACCATCACAGTTGTTAATTCTACCTGTAATCCTGTGGAGACTTCTGCAGCAATGCAGAAAGGTTTCTTCTTTAGGTCAAAGTGGAAGAGAAGAGAATAGCTTAGGGATTTTTGGTGGTGATGGTGGTTTTTCTTTTAACAGGCTGCAGATTGAGGTCCAATATGACACATTGACTCTACTGGTTTTCATTATTTCTTTGGTTCAGTAATGGCGTTTCTTGGAAACTGAATGGTAATCCCAGAAGTGGATAAATGAAAAAATAACCCTGTTCTCCAAAGGGTCTTAGATAATTTAGATAGGCAAATTCCAGAGCAGTCTGGGAATATAGCTCCTGTAAGTAAGCAGCTGGATGTTGCCTCACGGTCACAGGCCCTGGTTCTCATGGGGGACTTCAACTACCCCGACATCAACTGGGAGGACAACACAGCCAGGCATAAGCAGTCCTGGAGGTTCCTGCAGAGCGTCGACGATAACTTTTTGACGCAGGTTGTGGAGGAGCCGACGAGGAGAGGTGGGCTACTGGACCTCGTGCTATCAAATAGGGAGGGCCTAGTAGGAGATGTGAAGGTGGGGGGTAGCCTCGGCTGCAGTGACCATGAGTTGGTGGAGTTCAGGATTCAACGAGGAGGAGGCAGGGCTGTAAGTAGCCTTGCGACGATGGACTTCAGGAGGGCCAACTTTAGCCTCTGCAGAGACCTCCTCGGTAGAATCCCATGGGCTAGTGCTCTAGAAGGCAGGGGGGCCCAAGAGAGCTGGTTAGTTTTCAAGCGGCACTTCCTCCACGTCGGCTGCCAGCAGCAGGACATAGGTGGGGACGTGTTGTTGTGGTGGGAGAGGAGGCCTCGGGCAAGAGGAGGAGCCCTGGGCTTCAGAGCAACCCCAGGGCCCCTCATAACTGGGTGATGTGACACAGCAGCCACAGCTGCGCTCAGCAGTGTGAGTCCAGCTGGGTCCGGTCAGTGGGTTAACGGAGAGGGGGAGCAAGCCACCTAAAACGTTGAATATTTGTGAGATGTCGATGCAGCAGCAGGAGAGAATAAGGAAGGAACCACACGTCACACTTGCTGCTGAATGGCTGCCATGGCAGAAGTGTGTTCATCAGCCTGCCTCCCAAAATACACTTAGTTATTTAGCCTATGTTAAATAACTATATTGCCACCTAATTTTGAAAGCAAGCTGAGTAGGTTTGCACTATGCTACTGCCGGGTTAAGCAAGACTCTAGCTTTTTTTCCAGTCTGGTGGATACTGTTCTCAACAGAACTGAAAGCCTCCTCTGGGTTAATGTCATATCTGCTCTGCCAGATGTTCTCAATGTAGCTGAAATGGCTCTAAAATGTGATGTCCCTCCGGGTAATACGAATGTCAGGCATGTAAAAATAACTTCAAAACTCAAGATGTAATCGTAAAATATCATGGAGCTCACTCTTGTGCTTTTTAAAATGCAGAGTGACACAGATGTCTGCACCTCCTGCACTGGGGACAGCGTGGCTGAATTATTAGTGTATCCATAGGTGCATCACGAGAGGAGTCATAATGAGAAAGATTCAGAGGAATTCTTCTCTTGCCTCGGTCTGTAGTTGCCCTCCCGGGACTATGCACTGCTCCACTTTCAGTGGATCATTTTCTTGAGAAATGGAGAAAAGTGAGGCTTAAGCTGATAAGGAAGGAAATCTGTTCTGGCTGGGAAAGCTTGCAAAAGTTTTATCTTGAGTGATAAGGTTTTGTGTGGAACCAGCGTTCCTATCAGATATGCGAGACCAAAGTCTTATTACGTTCTTTGACAAGAGCAAGCAATCAGAAGTTGGTAGCTTTAATGAATATTTTGGTTCCTTTAGAGAACATTGAAGTGTAATTTTGCTGTTTAACAACATTGCACATTATTTTAAGTGGTGTAGAATGTGATTTTCCTGAAGCTGTATATTGCCAGGTGAGTTCTAATTGAAAAATGATTCACTTTTAAAATGCTCAGCAAAGGAAAACTTTTCATCTATTACTCTTCTGTAAGAGAAACTTTCTGATCGGGCAGCTGAGAATTAACAGCTTGTGGGCATTTATGTACATTAAAATCCTGTCTGCTGATCATATAAAACCTCTCTAGCAGCTGAGAATTAACAGCTTGTGGGACATTAAAATTCTGTCTGCTGATCATATAAAACCTCTCTTAGAAGTCCTGTACTATCTTGGCCTTCCTTGCTGCAGATGGACACAGCCCTTCCATTTCCTACTGGAAAAAGTAGTTTATCAAAAGATTACCACTTTTTGAGCTGTATAAAACAAGACGTCTGCAGGAAGTGTATGCAATGTGCTGCTTTCCATGTGAGAGATGATTTAGGGTGGGTCATAGATTAGGAGTTAAACAGCTTCTTCATTTGTTTTATTTGAATGGAAACATTGGATTTTGTAAGCAAGCACAGCAGGAAAGGATTTTGCTTGGGTTCAGAAGATAATAACATGTATTCTGGCACAATGTCTTCAGAAATCTTTTCTCAGTTAACTCCAAGGAGGTGGAGACAGAAATTAGGGTCATGGCCCTAATCACTTTAGTAGGACATAAATTTTATAGCACTGTTTATAGCTTGTAGTCATTTTAGGTATAATTTATGATAATCAGTATTTTTGAAATAAAACTGCATAGTTGTTGTCCCATCTTAAAATGTTGAAAGGAGGGGTAGTGATTATGGTTAGAAATGCGAACGTCTGTTCCAAATAGAGCTTATGAATGAAATGGTCTTGATCATTGTCATCTTCTGAAAAGCAGTGATTCATCCTCTTTCTCTAGATCTAAAATGAGTGCAGTCTGTGGTCAAAAAGGCAAACGCGTTTGGTGAAAGTGTATAGAAAATTTTGATAAATTCATTTCCCTTACGCTGCTGTTTCAGTGAGTTGATTTCTCTTGAGTGTTATTCATCTGAAATGATTAAACTTAGAGTTTAAAAGTGTTTCCGGCTTGTTAGATCACTCGTGTGTTATGCTAATAGGTGAAGAGAATGATTCTCCAAGGTGGAGGTCAAATCTATGGGAATTTCAGTCCCTCTTCACTTACACTGCTGGAACCCTACAGTCTAATCTAAATTCCTTCACGTTTTTTTAAATATGTCTATGGTTGCAACTATCAGTGTCTTCCATTGGGGTTGGTTTTTCAATAACTGATAGGATGTTGGGTTTTAAACTCCACCACTTCGAAGGAGCAAATGCATCGTCCCTGCTGTATCCGAGCCTCTTCCTGAGGGATGTTTTCCCCATGGAGTCAGCCTTGCACGCGAGTCCTTTCCCTGCCTTTGGAACCACAAGGCTCCCTCATCCCTCTTTGTCTGGGGCCATTTGTGTGCACTTCCCTTCTCCGAACGCTGCTCAGCAGAGGATCCAGCTGGTGTTTTCTTTCCCATGCAGCTGTCAAGGAGACCATTGTACATTTATTTCAAGTGTTTTGACTTTTTTTTGAATAACTTGAAGAGCTCTCTGCTATATATCTATTTTTTATAATAGGGTATTTTTATGCCTCTTTGGAGAGTTTGCTGATGTTTTCTATGAAATGTTTGCAGGAGATGGGGAGGCTGGTGAGGAAGTGAGAAGCGTGCAAACTGTTTCTGTTCCTTCAAAGAGGAGGAGGAGGAAAGATCTATTCAATTCTGATCCCTATTATGTTGTTGTCTTGCAGCTACTGGAAGGCAGTGAGCTTGACAATCAAAATGTGTTCGCTCCTAACTGGTGTATTGCATAAATTTTAGTCTTTAGAAATTACGGATGAGCACGTGCAGTAGTTCATTTTGTACATGTAAGTAGTTCTCCTGTTGATTTGGATGGTGTTGCCAGCATTAGTGAAGTTATTTTTGTGCATTGCAAATTTGCGGAATTGTGCTGCGTATGTTTTGCAGTCTGGTTATAATTCTCTCAAATCCCTGTTGTACTTTGTCCCTTTTGAAACAGCTACTACTAATTAATAATATAGAAGAGAGAGAATTTAGAGATGCTTTTATTTTGGAAGTTTATGTTGAAGGTATTGAAATCTAGACACAAATCTCTAAGACTGAAATTGAGCGAAGATTTGAGCACTCAAGAGTTTTGCAAAATCCTTTCATGTTAGAGCCATTGGATTTTGGGGGGTATTTTGGCTTTTTAAAATATCTGTCTGATTCTTAAGCTCTGAAACTTGCATTTGTAGCTTTATAATGCAGATGATGAATTATGCCACTCTTCCAGGAAAAAGGAAAAGGCAGAATTTCAAATATTGAATGCTTCCTTTACGTTCCTCTGAAGAAATCTCAAAATGAATTCTGGGGCCAGGGTGTTATAAACCCGTTGTTCTTGTGGCCGAATCTAGCTTTGCTCCCGAGATGATTACCCTGTGTAGATATGTGGGTTTTATTCACCTAATTTAGTGCTGGATGTTCTGATTTTATACTTAAATCTTCAAAGTACTGAGACAGCAATGCATTTAAGGACTTAATTAGAATTATTATTTTAAATCAGTGAGTCTGTTGATATGGTTAAGGAATTGCTGTACTGTGACTAAAGAAAGACTGTCTAGCGAAGTTAAGGCATTTAAATCTGATAACTTATGCATCAGGGGCTTTTTTATAGCCTTATTATAAATAGTCTTGCTTTTTTTTTCTTGTATGATGATCCAATTTGTTAAGAAAACTGGAGGCTTTCTCCCACAATGAATTGGGGCATTTGTGCTTAGTTTTAATTGTCCGATGTGGTTAGGGGCTTCTGCAATGGGTGATTTATTCTGATGAAAAGAAAATTACTTGATATTTTCTATATGTTACCTTGTTTAAAAGCTAAAAAAGGAAGTTCTGAAATTCTCATGCAACGTGTTGTCTATGAATGACAAGGACAGTGGGCCAAAAATACCAAAATAGGGTTGGCCAAAAGTGAAGAAACATGATGCTAACATCAGGGGTTCATCCTGTTGCCTGCCTTAGGATTTCTTTAACAACTAGTATGGTCTCTTCAGTCTGAACAGATGTCTGGATTTTGTAAGTGCCACTTGGAGAACAGGAGACAGCGCTGTGTACGACTCGGGCCCTGTTAGCCATCAGCCGGGAGGTTGTCACACAAGTGCCACCCGCTGCTTGTGAGAGATAAAATTCCCGTTCGGACCTGGAACCTGGCATGGCCCTATATGGATGATATTCCGATGTGAAAACTTGTGGCATTTCATGCTGCCAGCTGGGGGTAGTGAGAGCAGGAGTGTGAAGGAGGGTTTCTGTGGGCCTGCTTGTTCATCGTGCGAGGAGGTGAATGGTGCTTTGGGCCTTGTGTATTCTGGAGCTTTGTTTTATTCAGTATTTTTATAGGTGACTGATATATAATAAAAGATAAGCCTGTCTTAATGCTAAAATGCAGCAATTTTAATTCTGACGTATTTTAT